AGGAGCACAAACGTAGGAGAACAACAGTGTGGTCATCGGAGAGAAAAGCACGTCAAAACACCTGCTGGTGTCTCCCCATGTCGCAGGCCAGATGTCGCATGACCTCTGGGCTCCGTTCTTGGGGCGGCCGCCCCCTCTGATCATATGCCCGGGGCCACTGCATGACGTCTACACCGCCCATCCTGAGAGCTTAGGTCCCACATGATTCAATCACATGGGAAAGGAGTTCTTGGGACAGAGAGAAAGTGGGGGATGGGAGGGTAAGCAAAGGAAAACGACTCAGCCAACACATCTACCAGGTCCCCACCAATACGTCCGTACCTGCCATGTGCAAAGCTTTACACTGCCCACGGCAGGTATGATGATCAGGGATGCTGTATATTCTACAGATGTGTTTGTGTGTTGCTTGCATCCTACCCAGACACTACGATGTGAGCTCCTGGAAGGCAAGGACTCGCATTTTGTTGACGGCAGGGTCCCTAGCACCTAGGAGAGTGGCTGGCACACGGCAGGCCTGTGATAAATACATGGTGAATTAATGGTTGAAGGCACTGTGCTAGTAGGCACTAACAGAAAACAGTTTCTGTGCACCCACATGGTGAGCTCTGTGCAAAGCATTTTGCAAGGGTTTTCCTCTTTACGTGGGCACGCACATGGTCCCATTTTACCGATGAGGAAACTGAAGCTCAGAGAGGTCACATCCCAGTAGAGATGGTGGCACTGAGGCTTCAACTCAGCTATTCTATCTACTGGGTCTTCGTTTCAGACCAAGCCTCCTATCCCACACTCTGGGAAAGTAACAAAGACCAGTTAGACAAGAGTCCCTGTTCTCCAAGCAGAGATAAGCCAATTGGAGATAAGATCTAGAAACAAGTCAGAACTGCCCGGGGCAGTAATGCTATGGGCATTACGTTAAAGCAGGCAATAATGCCACGAGTTTGCAGAAGCGAGAACTGGGCAGCTAGGAAGAGATATTTAACTAACAAGACGATTATTGCTGGGTGATGGAATCACGAATGGTTACACTTTCATACCTTATCGTATTGTCGAATTTTCCCATAGTCAATAAGCATTGCTTTTGTAATAAGAAAAAGTATATGTATTTTTCTTAAGAAATTTTCCCTTAAAATTTAAAAATATATGTTCTAAGGCAAGTCTCTAAGGCAAACTTCCTGCCTGTCACTCCCTTTTGCCCTCCTCCAAAGCATGCTCTATTATTAGTTTTTAAAATAACTTTTCAAATATACTCTGTGCATATATAAGCATATGCCGTATATATTTATATATACATATATTTTCAAAACCACATTAAGTGTGGGGGTTAGTGTAACTCAGTGGTAGAGTGCATGCTCAGCACACATGGAGGTCCTGGGTTCAATCCCCAGTACCTTTGCTTAAAAACAGAAAACTACACTACGTTAAATTTTAACCCAAGGAGTCAGGAGGGGCTGCGGAGGAAGAAAATGTATCTCAGCTCACGCATCAAATATGTGCACTAAGCAGGGCTGGGAGACCACGGGGGCGAGTGAGGCACCTGCTTCAGACACGAATTTAAAGGGCATCAAACACCTGAGCAATCAAGATAAGTCATATTTTTTCAGTGCAGCCACTATGCAAAACAGTATGGAGGTTCCTTAAAAAACTGAAAATAGAGTGACCCTATGATCCAGCAGTCCCACTCCTGGGCATAGATCTGGAATAAACTCTAATTCAGAAAGACACATGCACCCCAATGTTCATAGCAGCACTATTTACAGCAGCCAAGACATGGAAACAGCCTAGTGTCCATTGACAGATGACTGGATAAAGAAGCTGTGGTACACACACACAAACACACACACACACACACAATGGAATATTACTCAGCTAGTAAAAAAAAGAATGAAATAATGCCATTTGCAGCAACATGGATAGACCTGGAGATGATCATACTAAGTGAAGTAAGTCAGACAAAGACAAATATCATGATATCCACTTATATGTGGAATCTAAAAAAAAAGTCACAAATGAACTTACTGACAAACCAGAAACAGACTCACAGACAGAGAAAATGAACTTACGGTTACTAAAGGGTAAGGGGGACGGGGAGGGATAAATCGGGAGTTTGGGATTTGCAGGTACTAATTTCTATACATAAAATAGATAAACACCAGGGTCCTACTGTATAGCACAGGGAACTGTATTCAATATCCTGTAAAAACCTGTTATGAAAAAGAATATACATATGTATAACTGAATCACTATGCTGGATACCAGAGACTAACACAACATTGTAAACTGACAATACTCCAATAAAAAAAATAAATGTTGTAATTCAATATTTTAAAAAATCTAAATTAATGCAAGGAATCCATGAGAAACAAAACATCAAAATTTTGAATGAAAATAGAACCAGAAGGAAAAGAAGGGCAGATCCTGCTTCTCTACGGCTGAAACTTACACAGCTGTGGAGTGGGGAGGAAGGAGGCTTCTTTAAGAAAAAGACAACAAAATGACAGGTAAACATTAGGCAAGAAAATTAATGCTCAGAATGAGGAAATAAATAACAGCAAAGTATACATTTTAAAACCCTGACCTACACCATAGACACACCAACTCCAGAGGACATCAGCTTCCTATTAACTGCCTGAAATGCTTCGGTGATGCCTTTCCCCCCTATATTTTTGTAGGAACATTTTGGAAAGTCCCCATCAAAGTTCTTTCATATAGCAGCTGTAAAACATGTGCGACAGGTTTCTGCTCGCAAACACGGGAATCTGATCGATTCTGTTTCCCATGGAAACCAAATGTCGCTTTCCGCACCAGCCTTTCCACCAGCCTCTCACAACAAGGCTTCTTCAGCGTCAGCAAGAGACCTAATCACATCCTGGTAGGGTTCAGTAGGAAGGGGCTCCTGGGCCTGCCCATGGTCGAGGGGGGAAGCACTCCGAATGCCAAAGGGCGTCAGAATAAACCGCCGCAAAATGTGCCACTTTGGCATGAGGATTCTAAGCTGAAGAACATTAGGAAACAGTAGATAGAGTGGAAGGTGGAGCCCAGTGGTAGAGCGCCTGCTCAGCACAGACAAGGTCCCAGGTTCAATCCCCAGGACCTCCACTGAAATAAATAAATAAACCTAATTACCCCCCCCCCAAAGAAACAACAACTCTTGGACTCAGCCACTGGAGGTGATGCTAGGCTCTTCTCAGCCCAGAGGAATCTCCCTAACAAACCTCACAAGACAGCTCTTACCTTCCCTGAGTTTCCCCCGCATAGTTACTTCCCCAAGTTTACCACTCCTCAAACTGTATACCTCCTTTCCTTGTCTTGTCTCTTCTCTACAAACGTATTGTTCTTTGTTAAGATGGTACTGTCGACAAATTAATTAATACTCAATCTAATAAAGAAATAGAAAACTTTATTCAAGGCCAACCTGAGGACTATAACCTGGGAGACAGTCTTTCAGAAAGCTCTGACAACTGTCAAAGCAGGATTATGTGAATTTTTGAGACAAAGGGTTATTCTGTCAAATGACGTGCTATTGACAGTTCATACAACCCAGATTTGCAGTGTGCCGCCCTGACTCTACAAGATTAAGAAGGACGGTGACCTCCTAAGGAAGTCGGGTCAATGCAGATGCATCACACCCTCTAAAGGGGAGGGAGGAGGCCCCAAATGAGCAGAGAAAATTTTTGTTTAAATTTTCCTTGTCTTGCCATAAAATAGGAATTTTATTTTTATCACATGACTATGTGAACACATCAGAAGGGGTCCAGGAACACTTCAGTTTCACCATAAATCTGCCTCAGAGCAAAAGTCATCATTACTAACTGGGTGGTCCCAGAAGCTCACAAAGGAGGTAAAATTTGGAAATTGCCTTAAAGACCAGGTAATTTCAGCAAGTGGCGGTGGGGTCACTCCAGGCGATGAAGGGGGGGCACAAGTACTTTTAAGGGGAGAGAGTTTGGAGGAGGGCTCTCCTGAGCACTGGTTTACACGATGGGGAGGAGGACGATGGCGATGCTGATTTGCTGTGGATTTCTTGGTTCAAACAAAATCGTGGGGAGTCCCAACGATGGAACAGGTGACACGGCCGTTTCTCAGGTCGGTTGGGGGCCCTGCTGCCTCACTCACGCCAGCCCAGGGGGCTTGGAGGGGAGCTGGGCAGAAAGTGATATCTGAAGGGGAGCAGAGAGAGAGGAGGGTGCCGAAGTGGTGGGAGTCAGACGATGTCAGGGTGGAGTCTGGACCAGACTTGGCAGACAGATACAGCTGGTGCCGAAGCAGGGCAAGAGTCCTCCGTCAGGACTGTGCAC